TTTTGGAGTACCATCCCAGGGAGAATTTGGATCTCTGTCATCTGGAGAGCTCTAGTAGGGGTGGGGGGGGCTGGAGACCCTAGTTGTGAGCTCCTACCCAGTGAGGAGGATCAGGACCAGGTACCTACTTAAAGCAGCAGCCTGGCCACATTTTGGTAGAGCAGCTGTGCTGTGCTGGAGGATCCCTTCCACCCCAGTTCAGCTCAGATGCTTCAAAGCCTGAAGGCTGGAATTGCTAAGGTACCTGAACAGCAAAGATTCCGGTCCACCTTTTTCCCTGGGAGCTCCTTCTTAGTGAGGTACAATGCCACCACTAGTAGCCAGATGGAATTCCAAGCCAGGGAGTCTTGTGAAGTGCCACGTAAGTATGTACAGGACTGTAACTTTTCACTTTGCCAAAGCTGCATCTATTTTTGCCATAAAGCCTGAGTATCTAAGGCTACAAGGCCTCCATGCATGCCTGAGCGGCTGCTCTGCCAGGACTCCACATAGGTTTGTCTGTCAGACTGAAGACTGAGGCTCTGATTGAGTAGGTTCACAAGGAGATCTCCTGACTCAAGGATTGCAAAGATATGTGGAAGAAGTGTAGTTTCCTAGGGATTGTTCATTCACTTAACACTTCCCTGGGTTGGGGAGGATCCCCTGGCTCCCTGTTGCTCCCAGGTGGGTTGTTGTTCTGACTTGCTTTTCTTCATTCTCTGTGCGTCAAGTTGTTTCCTTGATTAATCCCAATGTGAGTACCTGGATGTTTCAGTTGAAGGTGTTATTTTTATCACTGCTTCTGTTCCTCTCCATGAGAGCCAAATATACTAGCTACTTCTGGTCAGCCATCTTGGCCCCTCCTTCCATTTGTATATACTTCCTATACATTTATGGATTTTTTTTTCAATCCTGGGTATGAAACTTTTCTTTTCGTTTCACAAGCATATCTGGCATGCATTAAAGAACATTAAGAAAGTGAAAATTCACTTCACAGCTGATCCAGAAGGGCTCAAAGTTATGTGAATCACTATTTTTTTTTTTTTTGCATAAGGTTATTATTTGGAGGAAAAGAAACAGTTCCTTTCTAATTGTTGGAGTAATCCTAGAGTAGGGGTTGAAGACTAATTACCTCTTTGACTTTCTTTCATTTCCTTGACTCACTTAACCCCTGTGAGTAAACACAGGGGTTATGTGACTACTATTCATTCACCAGATCTTAAATACCCAATGCTTAACTATACTTAGTTCTGATCAAGAAGTGAGACTAAAGGAAACATGTATGTGTTAAATCTTCAAACAAAATATTTAATCAAATTTCCTTTTAGAACATTTTTGTCTACTAATCTTGGACTAAAGCTGATAATAGAAGCCAAATTGACTAGTTTGAGTAACAAATTTTACTTCTTGTTCGTATTCTTCTTATGAGGGCACAAAGAGAACAAAAGGCAGTTAGCCAGAAAGATAGAAAATTAAAGGATCCTGGATAGTAGACTGGTTCTGATTGAGAACTCACTTTGCCTTATTTATTGCTCAGATTAGTCCTCATCTGTGCTTGGCATTATCTTGGATATTTCAGGAGATCATTAAAGTATAGGGTCACAGAATTGAAATTACAGACTCCATAGGAGAAGGAACTAATGTTATTCCTTTTGGTGTTTAGCATAAAAATGCACTCATCAGTGTTCAGTAGATATCATTTACTGATTCATTCAACAAAATTTATTGAATATCTACTATATGTCTAAAACTATTCTATACACTGATGAAACAGTGGTATCTGATATTGAGTCTTGTCCTCATAGAATTTACATTCAAGAAGGGAGAAGAGGCAGGAAATAAACAAATATGCAAGTAAATAAAATAATTCAGATTATAAATCCTATAAATAAAATAAAACAGGGTAATGTAACATTGAGTTGGGAGTGGGTAACATTAAATGGAAAAGTTAGGGAAGACTTTCAAGAGATGATATTTGAATTGAGACTAAAGGCTGAGAAAAACCCTTGCATATAAAAAGAGAAATAACTTTCTAAGCAGAGAAAAGAACTAGTACAAAAATCCTTAGGAAAAAATGGGCTTGATGTGTTCAAAGAAAGAAATTCAACATGGCTGAAATGTTGATATGATAGATGTCTCATGCTGGGCTTTGTAGGATACAGTAACATATTTGGTTTTGTTGTCAGGTCAGTGGAAAGTCACGCTGGAAAACTGCCTCTATGGTAATAATTATAAATACTGTACAGAGAATGGTTTGGAGGGGTCCATGACTATAAGCAGGAAAAAGAGTCCATAATCTGACAGAAGTCTAAGAAAGAGATGATGTCTTTAACTAGAGTGTGACAATGAAGATAGAAAGAAATGGGTTTCGAGGTCTATTTTATAAATAGAACAAACAAAACTTGCTGGTCGATTGGACATGGAGCATGAAGGAAAGAGAGGAATCAAGAATGAGCACAAATACTTTGGTTTGGGCAACTAGGATGGGTAAGGAACACAGGAGGTAGAGCAGGTTTGGGGCTGGTGGTAAGAAAGGATAAAAAAATTTGGTTTCGTCATGTTTAATTGGAGATGCCTGTTAGATATCAAAGTGGAAATATTGAATAGACAGTTGGATACGTGAATACAGATCTCAGGAGACAAGTATGGGCTGAAAATATAAACTTGTTATCAGGATAAGGGTGCTATTTAAAGTCATGTTAGTGGGCTTACGGCCAAAATATAGATAGGGAGGAAAAAAGACCTTAGTAACAAGCCCTTAGATGCTTCAACATTTAGAGGTCAGGTAGTGAAGGAATATCTGGGTTGTTAAAAGGAATTAGGGTAAATCAAAAATAGCAATAGGAGAAAAACCCAGAGCATGTGGTGGGATACCAGCAGAGAGAAGGAAGAAAATATTTCAAGAAATACAGAAAGGTCTACTGCATTAAGTGCTACTGAGAGATCAAATCAGATGAGGACAGAGCAATTACTACTAGATTTGGCAATATCGAGGTGGTTGATAACCTTGACAACAGCACTTTCAGGAAAGAGGTGGGAACAGAACCCTGAAATAAATTGAAAAATGAAAGAGTGGTGAAGGAGTGTTGAAAATGAGAGTAGACAATTTTTGAGATGTTTTATAATGATAGGAAGCAGAAAAATGAGGCAGTGGCTAAGAGAAAATGTGGAATTAAGAAAGCATTTTACGGAATTCACACGTATATGTTAATAGAAATGATCCAATAGAAAAGAAGAAAGTGTTAATATAGGACAAAATGGAAATAATTGCATGAGCAAAGTTCCTGTGGAGGCAAGAGGTGGAGGAATCCTGAGAACGTTTGGAAGGGTGTGTCCTTTATACAAGCAGAGAAACTTTATTTACAGCAGAGTGTATTAATACAGATGCACATAGGTTGGTAAATTTGATGGTGAGAAGATGAAATAGTTCTCTTCTGATTGTTTATATTTTATTTGTGAAATTAGAAGCGAGGTTATCTGGGAATAAATGACATAGAGAAACTGGAAGTTTGCAGAGACAGAAGATAGTGAAATATTTGTCTCAGAGAATAGAAAAATTATTAATTAGGGAATTGTAGCAGTGCTGTTGAACCTCTCGAAATTCTTTATCATAAATTTTAGAACCTTCAGTTCATCTGAGAAACCCAGATCTAGCTTTCCATGGTTCAGTATGCTCCTCGTTTTGAGCAATGCTTCACTAGATAAGAGTCTTTATTCTGTAACAATTTGAAAAACTTCATTAGCATTAGGAAGGAGAATGAACAGTGCAACTCCTTTGCCTGTTACTTCAAATACAAAGGGTTCCTATTCAGGGTGTTCCACATAGATTAAATGTAACTTCATATCTTCCCGTGCGCAATTTTTTTTTTTCATATTTGAAATGTCATCAGTGAGTCCCACAAACGTCTCTTCATTTAGTTACTTTTCTCAGCTTGCAGATGATATTTTGCAATTTGATCATAAATTTAAATGGGAATATGCTCACTTTCCAACACTTATACCCTAATGAGCCCCCTATAAATGACTTCATATTTATACTTTGAAATTGTCAAGCTGAACCATGGCTTAATGCTGCATTTGACACATCTGTCCCACATTCTCACAGCATTCCCCTCACTGTGGCTGTGGAAAAATGGAATCCATGATTGTGTCTATATAACACCCAAAAGGGTGTGTCAAGGGTTTTTTAAATAAAACATGGAAGATAAATTTCTTTTGATGGAGAAAGTGGAAGCCACATTGACCATATTTCTGGAGAACATGGGGAGGCCCAGCTTTGGGTCTACCAATTGTGGCTTCAAGGCAGGGTGACCAGGAGAGTCCCAGTATCTGCCTGTTATTTTAATGTAAACCTTAACAGCTGCCACTGTCACTCTAATAAGTGTTCTGGTTTGGACAAAAAAATTATATGGTCACTCTACCTCCACAGTTCGATATAGTCGCTACATCCAGAGAAAACTACCTTCACTAACTAGCTGCTGTTTTTTTCTGAACCCTCATGTGCACATATGAGTGGAGTGCAATGCTCTTATAGCCACTACCATCACTACTATTTCTGGGACCTGATCTCAAAAGCAATCTCATCATTGCCATTACTCTTTGGCTCTACCTTCTGTTCTATAATTTTCTACTCTTTGAATTTTGCTTAAAACAATTTTCTATATCTACCTAGTTGGATAAAGGGCTGGATTTGGATTAATAAGTTTAAATTCAGTCCAAACTGGTAAAACAGGAGGCACACAGCCATCCCTCTACATTCTGAGACCCCCTACTGCTTTCAAAGGAATTCTCCCTAACACGTCCACACTGCTGAAGCTAGAGAGTCTGTGTTTAGGACTCCCAAATCCAGATTTTATATAGGCCTCTTTTCATCCCATCAGATATACTACTCTTTCTTGCCTGACAAAGAGAAAGAAGCCTGGACCAATGACATCAGGTCCACCATGAAAGGAAAGGCTGCCCCTTTAAGAACTGAGACATGGAATGGTCAGGAACCTGTGACTGGGCCCACTATGACATCAGGAAGCAGAGCTCAGAGGGACTGGCAACAGGCACAAGTGAAGTTTACTTGCCAATCTTCACTGAAATCACATTTGAAAAGTCATGGTTTTCTTTCTTTGTTTTGTTGTGATTTTCTGTTTTATTGTAAAGAAGATTGTAGAAACGAGGCAGAAAAGGAAGGCCGGGAAACAAAAAAAGGGTATCTAAACAACAGAGTACAAAGATTGGGTCAGTCTTATTTTTCCTATTTCTATCAGTTTATCTTTTCTTATGATACTTAACCTCTATCTTACCCTTGATATTATTACCCCTGAAGGATTTTTACCCCTAAAGGGTGGTTGTGGGCATAGCTGAAACTTAGGTGTAGGTCATGGTATATATTTCACATACTGTTTGATCTTTTTAAATCAAAGGGCAATGAATTATTTTACAGACTGACTCAAATTTCCTCATGTAAAAATAACTGTATCAAAATGGCTATGTAAAAATACATTTGATTTCAAAACCACTCCATCAAAATGATCATGTCATAATATGTATATGCAAATACATACATACAATACATATTGTATATGTACATACTATTAACTGGTGTGGCTATAAGAATAGGTTCTGTGTAGATCTCATTTGGATCCAATATTATATGCCTCATGTCTGTTTTAAATACCAAATTCTTGCTTCAATGCTCACATTACTGCAATTTAGTCTTTACTCATGTACTTACTCAGAGTATGGTGTTTAAGTATCAAGTCTTTACCAGTTGATTTGTATGGATTAGTTTCCCTCCAATCCCTCTATGATATGTTGTGGCTGTTTGATGTTGCAGGTATTTGTATTCAACCTAAGTACTTGCTGCCTGAGTTATTTGTATCTACTGTGTTTTCTCTGGAGATACGTGTTTTTCAAACTATGACAATGAGAAGGGGGATTTAAATTTTTTTTTAACTGCATTTTAGGTTTCGGGGTACATGTGAAGAACATGCAAGATAGGTACACACATGGCAGCGTGATTTGCTGCCTTCCTTCCCTTCACCTCTATCTGTCATTTCTCCCCATGCTATCTCTCCCCACCTCCCCACCTCCCCACCTCCCCATCCCTCCTCCATTTCCCCCCAACAGACCCCAGTGTGTAGTGCTCCCCTCCCTGTGTCCATGTGTTCTCATTGTTCAACACCCACCTATGAGTGAGAACATGCAGTGTTTGATTTTCTGCTCTTGTTATCATTCTACTATAAGGGGGATTTAAATTTAACCCCTTTAGATGGAAAGGTCACTTAGTGCTTAGAGTGGTGGCTGAAATGTATCTTCCATTTGCACTTCCTCTTCAGTGAACCATTTGATAGACTTATACAGAGAGATCATGATGGTGATGAAGAAGATGATGATGATGATGAAGATAGATATATAGATATAGAAAGAGACTTGCTAAATTGTCAACATAATATATAAACATTTTCCCTTTAGCAATTAACTTATACATTTCCAAAGATTAGTCCTGGAGCTATCTTGATATTTAGATATTAGAATGTAGAATTAATGTAAGCTATTATATATTGTATTTCAAATGTCCTTAATATCATGGCTAACCGTTTCTTCTCTCTCCTCAAAAAAAAAAAATCCGTGTGCAGACTCTCTGGAGCTCATCCCTTCAGAGAGTCATTCCTGAAAGCCCTGTATCTCCTATCTCCACTACCTCGATTCTCTGGGATAAATTACAAGTAAGTTATCTTAAAAGAGATGTTGAAGCATGTAAATACTAAGAAAGAAAGCAGAATCTTATTTGGGAAGACTTTTAGTAGACAGTTTTATCTACTTATCTTTTGGTAGAAGGTAGGGTTTCAGGGAAAGGAACATAGAGATAACAATGTTTCTAACTGTGAATATCTACATAATTGGGTTTATATTAGAAAAGAAGATAGCTCTTTTACATATTTCCTGATATAAAAAAATGTCAGCGCTGACTAAAATTAATCTGTAAGATTTAAAAAATTGTACTTCATTTATCTAAGTATCATAGTAATTTCTCATACATCCTGAGAAAGAACACAGAAAAAATTCCCTAAAAAACACCCTAGTTTGAGTGAGAAATAGAATAAAAGAACTGTTTCATTCTTTCAGTTTTATGAGAATGTCATTATTTTGTTATGTCTGCTATATCAATCTAATGTAACTTCTGAATGACTTCATTTTTCTTCTACAGAATATAGTCATAACATTTGATTTCATTGTTAACACAATACTTTTTGATTGTTTAACTTTTTAAAGTATCCTATAATAAATATTCTTTATTTTTTCATTTAAAATAGCTTTATGATTCATGAATCCAAAAAGGACAGTCTTTTCATCCATCCATTTTATAAATGACATGGCTCCTAAGGAACAGCAAAACCTGAAGCAAATTACGGCAACAAGCATTTGTCAACCACGCACATGAAGCCACTCTTTGTACGTATTATGCATCTCAATCTCTATATATGGTTATCAACATAATAATTCAAGTAAAGGTAATATAATAAATACTAAGGCTTCACTATAGCAAAATGATATAACACAATTAGACAAATTCTGCCAGACAGAATTAGAAACATTTCAAGATAAATGTATGGGAAGTTTAGCTTATATGACTCACTGTCACTACTATTTTATTTTGCAAAATGGGATTAGGAAATAGGAATCAGTTGGGGAGAGATAGCATGGGGAGAAATGCCAGATATAGGTGAAGGGGAGGAAGGCAGCAAATCACGTTGCCATGTGTGTACTTATGCAACAATATTGCATGTTCTTCACATGTACCCCAAAACCTAAAATGCAATAAAAAAAGGAAATAGGAATCAAATGTATAGTATATATAATGATATGTATTAATATATTTATATGTAAGTATGCATAATTTATATTTATATTTAAATTTAAATCTTTAGAAGGAGATTTCAGATCAAATGAAAACTGATTAAATACCATTAGACTGGTTACCAGAAATGAGACAGGTCTTATGTTTTTGAAGTCATTAAATTACCATAATTTAGCAAGGCAACTGCTGTTTTGTGTTTTAGTCCACTTAAATAATACATTACATAGTACATCGCTCAAGCTAATTTTGAACACTAGCTAATTACTGTTCACTAGCTATAAGACATGTTAACAAGTAACGTAGAATGCAAACTATTTCCTTGTAGAAGTGTTTAAAAACATAAATCAGAGAAAATAGTGAAACAGATTGTCAGCTGAACGTTATATTTATGAATCTTTTTGATAAGTGCAATGAATTATGTAGCTAGTTCACCAAAAGTGGATAACTGGTATTTGCTAACATAAGAAGCTGTGGTTATTTTCAGAGGGGGACATGTTTGGTTGACCATATAGCAAAATAACATTCTCCCAAAAAACTGCACTGTGAATTAATGAATGACCTCAAAGTGATAAATAAAGAAAACACAGATTTGTAGTTTTAAGGATTTTAATTATGCAGTAAGACAAAATGCCAGCTGTGTGATTAAATAAAAACAGATTTTTCTAATACACTTAGCATATATTAGGATAGATGTACCATCTATGTGGACAAGTGATGAAAAATAGAACTGAGAAAAAAGAACTTTCATGGGACATGTAAAATCATTAAGAGAATCAAATAAGAGAAAATGGCAGTTAACTCATTTTGGGTCAACATATGTGGAAACTCAAAAAAATAAAATGTCATTCAATAAAGAGGAAAGGGTAATATTGAGAATATAGAGAGCAAACTGGGTGGGTTTAAATGTAAGTGGCTTCAGAATCAGTTTTGATCTGTATATCAGTTCCCTATTGCTGAATAACAAATTATCAGCCTCAGCAACTTTAAAAAACACACACATTTATTATCTCACAGTTTCTGTGTGTCTTGGTTCATTTTGTGTTTATATATATATATATACACATATATATATTTTTATATATATATACATATATATGTATATATAAAATATAAAGGGTTTATATATATATAAAACCCTTTGGGAGGCCCAGGTGGGCAGATCACGAGGTCAAGAGATCAAGACCATCCTGGTCAACATGGTGAAACCCCATCTCTACTAAAAATACAAAAATTAGCTGGGCGTGGTGGCACGCACCTGTGGTCCTAGCTACTCGGGAGGCTGAGGCAGAAGAATCACTTGAACCCAGGAGGTGGAGGTTGCAGTGAGCCGAGATTGTGCCACTGTACTCCAGCCTGGCGACAGAGCAAGACTCCATCTCAAAAAAAAAAAAAAAAAAAAAAAAAAAAAAAAAAATGGCTGACTAATTTATAAAAACAAACAGTTTATTTGTCTCATGGTTCCTGTACAAGAAGCATGGCACCAGCATCTATTACTGGTGAGGAGTTCAGGCTGCTTCCACACATGGTAGAAGGCAAAAAGGAGCTGGCATGTACAGATATCACATAGCAAGAGGATACCAAGGGTTTCCAGGCTCTTTTTAACAATCAGCTCTCATGAGAACTAATAGAGCAAGAATTCACTTACTACTGAATGGCTCCAAGCCATTCATAAGGAATCCACCACCATGATCTACTAGGCCTCATCTCCAAAACTGGGAATCACATTTCAACATGAGTTTTGGAAGGGTCAAATATCCAAAGTATAGCATTCAACCCATGATCCCCCAAATGTCATATCCTTCTCACATGTAAAATACAATCATTTTATCCCAATAGTTCCCAAAAACTTTATTTATTTATTTATTTATTTATTTATTTATTTATTTGAGATGGAGTTTCGCTCTTGTTACCCAGGCTGGAGTGCAATGGCGCGATCTCGGCTCACCACAATCTCCGCCTCCTGGGTTCAGGCAATTCTCCTGCCTCAGCCTCCTAGTTCCCAAAAACTTTAACTTGTTCCAGCATCGACTCAGAAATCCAAAGTTCAAAGTCCTATCTAAAACTCAAGGCAATTTCCTTACAACTATGAGTCTGTATAACAAAAAAACAAGTTATTTACCTCCAAGGTACAATGGTGGTACAGGTATTCAGTAAATATTCCCATTCCAAAAAAGAGAAATTGGCCAAAAGAAAGGGGGAATAAGCCCTACATAATTCCAAAAGTCAGCAGAGCAGACATCAAATCTTAAAGCTCCAAAATAATCTGCTTTGACTCTACTTCCTGCATCATGGGCACACTGGTAGGCAGGGTGGGCTCCAAAGACCTCAAGAAGCCCCACTCCCATAACTTTGCTAGGTGCACCCATGTGGCTGCTCTCATGGGCTCTAGTCCAATGCTTGCAGTTTTATTCAGCTGCAGTTGCATGCTTCCAGGGGCTCTATAATTCGGGAGTCTGGAAGGTTGTGGCACTGCCCTAGTAGGCATCATTTGTGGGGGCTCTAACCCTTATTGTATTCTGAGCACCTGTGGCTATAATACCATATGCATGCCACAAAGGCTGATAGCTTACGCCCTCTGGAGTAGCAGCCTGAGCAGTACCTGGGGCTCTTTGAGCCACAGCTGGAGCTGGAGCAGTGGGAATTTGGGAAAGAACATCCTGAGACAGCACAGGACAGCAGTACCCTGGGCCTGGCTCCCAAAACCATTCTGTCTTCTTAGGCCTCTGGGTCTCTGATAGGGCCTTTCACCCATAGTCTTGACTATCAGCATCTGGCTTCCATTTAGTCATGGTTATCTCTTTAGCAAATGGTAGTACCGCAACATCCTTGTATTCCTCTCCTGAAAACACTCTTTTCTTCTGTATCACATGGCCAGGCTGCAAATTTTCCAGATTTTTAAACTCTGCTTCCTTTCTAATCATAAAATTTCAACTTTAGGTCATTCCTTTACTCCAAGATTACATTGTAAGTTGTTAACAGTAGTCATGCCATTCATGAATGCCTTGCTACTTAAAAATTTCTTTCACCAGATACCCTAGGTCATCACTCTTAAGTTCAGCCTTCCTTAAAGCCCTAGGGCATGGATGTAATGCAGCCAAGTTCTTTGCTACAGTGTCACACTGACCTTTCTCCAGTTACCATTCAGTTGCTCACTTCCATTTGAGACCTCATCAGCATGGCCTTTACTGTCTATATTTCTATCAGCATTTTGCTCACAACCACAACCAATCTCTAAGAAGTTCCAAACTTTCACCTATCTCCCAGTCTTCTTTTGAATGCTCCAGACTTTTCTAACTTCTGCCCATTACCCAGTTTCCAAGCTGCTTTCACATTTTCAGGTATCTTTATAGCAATGCCTCATCCTTGGTACCAATTTTCTGTCTTGGTCTGTTTTTGTTTTGCTATAAATGAATGTCCAAAGCCAGGTAATATACAGAAAAGACATTTATTTGGCTCATAATTCTGCAGGCTAGATGACTGGGAGTCTGATGAGAACCTCAGTCTGTTTCCACGCATGGCAGAAAATGAAGGGAGCTGGCATGTACAGAGATCACATGGTGAGAGAGGAAGCAAGACCAGGAAGGTGACAGGCTCTTTTTAACAGCCATCTTTCATGGGAATAAATGGACTGAGAACTCACTACTGAGAGAACAGCACCAAATCATTCATGAGGAATATGCCCCCATGACTCAAACACAGCCCACTGGGCCCCACCTCCAACACTGGAGATCAAATTTCAACATGAGATTTGGAGGGGTCAAATATCTAAACTATAGCACCATGAATTAGGAGTCTCAATATGGCTTATCTGGGTCCTCCACTCAGGGTCTTTCAATGCTGTGATCAAGGTGTCAGGCAGACTGCATTCTCATATGGAGTTTGGGTCCTTTTCCAAGTTCATGAATTTGTTGGGAGAATCCACTTCCTTGCAACTGTAGAACTTCATTCTTTCTCCTACTCCTTTCCTTGCTAGCTGTTATCTAAAGGCCACTGTCAGTTCCTAGAGGCCACCTGCAGTTGCTACTTGGCCTTCTGATAGACCCTCTCACTACATTACAGTTTACCTCTTCAAGGCCAGCAGAAGAACGTCTAGCTTCATTCTTCTAGGATGGAGTCTTAAATAACAATGGATTCAAGAGAGTAACTATTGTATTGGTATTCACTCTCATTCTTTCCATATTGGCCAGAAGCAAGTCACAGGTTCTTCCTATGCTCAAGGGGAGGGGTTTATGAAATTGATGTAGTTCAATAAGGGCATCATTCAATGTGTGTGCAGATAAACAACAATTTACCCTTTAAAGAGGACTAAAATTGAATAGCTCAGCTTTTTCCCAAGGTGAACAAGAAAAAAATGGTGACCCTTAAAGGTTATAGAAAACCTGGGACAAATAATCTTTTTTTTTTTTTGAGACCGAGTCTCACTCTTGTCGCCCAGGCTGGAGTGCAGTGGCACGATCTCAGCTCACTGCAACTTCTGCTTCCTGGGTTCAAGCAATACTCCTGCCTCAGCCTCTCGAGTAGCTGGGATTACAGGCACCCACCACCATGCCCGGCTAATTTTTGTATTTTCAGTAGAGACAGGGTTTCACCATGCTGGCCAGACTGGTCTTGAACTCCTGACCTCAGGTGATCCACCTACCTCGGCCTTCCAAAGTGCTGGGATTACAAGCATGAGCCACCATACCTGGCCCAGATAATCTTTTAAAACTGAATGAAACTAATTGAGAAATGTGACATTTTTATTCATTCAACCAACTGGTTAAACCAACTGGTGCCTAGTATGTGCCAAGAGCTGTGGTATTTAAACAATGATGAAAAAAGTTATTGTCTCTGACCCATGAAACTATACTATATTGGAGGGAAATATATATTAAACATGTGAATATGTATACAATTAAAAACTGTGATAAGTACTACAAAATAAAAGCTCAGACGGTAGTGACAGACAATGACAAGGGTGATGCAATCGCCTGTGGTGCAGTGTGCGTATCAATATTACCCTTAATTATAGCCACTAAAAGAAAAGCGATAATGGTACAAGACGTGGATAAGAGTCTCAAAAGAGAAGTGGGTCAGAGCTGCTTTTTGTAGCTACCTCAGTCAAAAAGTAGTGGTAGTAATTTCCAAGAAGTAGGGGCAGGGCTGGAGGTAGAAGAGGCAAAGTAAGACAAAAAGTTGAAGTGACATGGATATTGATAAGGGAAAGATAGTGCCCAAGACAAGAAAGAATGTGCCAAAAGTTCCTTAGGAATAGCTGTGGAAAAGGTTCATCTCAAGTCTCTGCTAACAAATTGAACTTTTCCCCAAGAAAGCTCTCATTGTACTTTTATTTCAAGGATACATGGTAACCAAGCTCAGCATTCTATTAAAGCACATTGTTAAAGTTGCTCTCACTGAGTGTCCCAGTAATATATTAGTTTTCAAATCCAAAAGCCTATTTTAAGACTTCACCTTATCTGATCTCACTATAGACATTTGACACTTAATGCTTCCTGAACACTTCCAGGCTAATACTCTCCTGGTGGTCTGCCTATCTTTCTGGCTATAATTCCTCAAACTCTTACTGAAACACCTTCAACTCTGTACACAGCTTAAATGTTATTTTCCAGGGTTCCATCCTGTTGGTTAATTTCAAATCAGTTCATAAACATCTCTCTAGACCAGTGATTCTAATAGTCTATGGTATAGTTGTACATTTGTATTTCTAACAGATCTTTTAAAGACAGAAGTTGTTATCTCTCCAACCCACCCTGCTCCTGTCCTCTGTACCTCTGTGAATGGCGTAATCTACCCAGTCATCTAAGCCTGAACACTGTGAACTCTAGAAGACCCTTTTATCTCCTTTACTGCTCTCCCTAAATCAAATCATGCACAAAGTCATAGGGATCCTTTGTTCTAAATAACAAGTGACCAACTCATCTCAGTTCCTTGGGAAGGCCCTTGTTTTAAAGCCAAAAGTCCTACATCCTGGAAACCCCTTCAGTCTTGTGAAAATCTATTCCCTCTGCTACGGACTTAGTTTAAGTTTTAATCATGTCCCTTCCAAATTATTGCTAATTTCTCTACTACTTGCCTTTCCATTTCAGGATTAACTGTTACACTGTTGTCAGAGTAATCAACCTGATTTTGATAACAGCTTAAAAGACAATCGACCTTTTTACCTATAGGTTAAAGTCAAAAATCCTCAAGAAAGCATAAAAGGCTCTTCATATTCTAGTTCCTCTTATCTCTCTAGGTCTCCAGCTTTATCTTTTGCTGCTCTTGGAATTGCACCCTAAGCTCTATCCATACTAAACTTACTGCTTCCCAAGTATATGTTTTCCAAGCATTTATGATTTCATGCCTGAAATACTCCAAATCATCCACAAAATACCTACCTTGAATATCACATTTCTCATAAAGCCTTTCCAAAATGTCTAATCAGAGGCAGTGCTCTCTCCTCTGCCCTCCCAACAGCAGTGTGTTATTGCCTTCATTCTTGTACTATAGTATTCATGTTATAATTGTTTGTCTACATCTATTGTTCTATATTTCTTACTTGACTTTAAACTCATCCAGATAAGGCTCTATTCTTGTTATTATTATCTTACTCTATTTTATTATTCTTGTATCCTCAGCACCAAGCATAGTGCCTGCCACAAAGTGGTAGGCAACAAATATATATTTTTTTAACTTTTGAATCATTCTTGTATGAATGGAGAAGATGGCCAGTGTAATGTTTTTCAGTAAACATAAAAAATTCCCACCATTATCCTAAGCAAACTAATGCAGGAATATAAAAACAAATATCACATGTTCTCGCTTATAAATGGGAGCTAAACAATGAGAAGACACAGACACAAAGAGGGAAAAAACAGACACTGGAGATTACTTTAGAGTGGAGAGTGGAAGAACGGAGAAGATTTAAAAAAAAAAAAAAAAACACCAATTGAATACTATCCTTATTACCTGGGTGACAGAATAATCTGTACACCAAACCCCTGTAACACACAGTTTACCTATATAACAAATCTTCATAAATAACACTGAACTTAAAATAAAACTTAAAAAATAAAATCTTCCATTCAGTGAAAAAAAGAATTCTTAAAATAAAGGCCTACAGTATTCATATTTTCTCAGATCTGTTTTAAAATGACATTTTTAAATGTTCATGGACATGTTTCCTTATGGTTATTGGAATAGAAAAGTAAATTTATGAATGGAGATTCTTAATTGTCAAAAGTAACATGTTGGCCAGGCACAGTGTCTCACACCTGTAATCCCAGCACTTCAGGAGGCCGAGGCAGGAGGATCACGATATCAGGAGTTCAAGACCAGCCTGACCAACATGGTGAAACCCAGTCTTTAGTAAAAATACAAAAATTAGCTGAGCGTGCTTGCACAGGCATGTAATCCCAGCTACTCAGGAAGCTGAGGCAGGAGAATCATTTGAACCCAGGAAGCGGAGGTTGCAGTGAGCCAAGATCAGGCCACTGCACTCTAGCCTGGGCAACAGAGTGAGACTCGAGTCTCAAAAAGAAAAAAAAAAAAAAAAAAGTAACATGCTATGCTGGGGAAATTAAGTTTTAGCATGAACTTCTATCATAAAACAATTCTATACAGAGACAAAACTCTGGTTATGTGACATAAATAATGTTGTTATGATAATATATGTTGTGGAAACAATTAGTGATGTATTTAAAAATGTATGCAGATGATCATACAAAAAAAAACAAATGGGATATTTCATAAAAGCAAAAAATTCAATTTTATGTTAATACAGTAATAATATTCATCATTGTGCAATATCAGAGTGTGGACCTTTGTACTACAATATGAGGAAAAAAAGAAATATTTGCTTTTCTTATATAAATTTTCTCCCATAATGTTTGCTTCTTACTTTAGTATGGGAACTGAATTGCTCAATATCTAAACCAATATGAAGGAACTATATTACAATTATTTAATCATTATTTAAAAGCAGCTAGGAATTATTTTACCAAAAGAAGATATTTTCATGTGTTGATTTAAATCACTACAAATTTCTAAGAATGATTAGATTTCTAAAATAACTAAACATAAGCATATCTGAATGAGAATAAAAATTTTACTAAATGTCATTTAATTACTTTTGATATTTTTCACTTATTTGCAGAGTTTTCTACACCAGAAGTTCCAACATCAAGCTACATTCAAAGAGAGAAACAACACATTCGATACACAAGTTATGAAGAGTCGGAAATTCCTCATAAGATAGAACATGTGCAATTGAATTCCAACTATTAGGTTTTCTGTGGAAAAAAACATATGTGTGTGCATATATATGGCCATCTGATCATTTTAAAAGCATACTCAGAATACATTAAAAAAACACCATGAGTATGAATTATCTATGCTCTAAGTACTTAACTTCTCTTTCTGCATTTATGCCATCACTTCTTATCTCTTTATATCTTGAACTTTTTCTTTCCCCCCTCTCTCATTCTATGACTACTGAACAAAACTTTCATTTCTAATATCCAACTTCATTAACTCAGCAGAGATGGCAGATGTTTACTATCACCAAAATGCAGCGTAACACTTGCATATTGATTTATGACACGCATCTTTATAAACTAATCAGTGAAATGCATACACAATTGATTGCAAATTGTTCATACCAAATATTGAGTACTTTATTAATTACTGGCAAAAGCTAAGGAGCTACACAAAAGCATCATATTTAAATAAGGAATTTTATTTGAAATGTGAAATTTCATTATGAATAAATTCCATAAAATGAACTGAGAATTGCTAAGTGATTTCTGAAATTGGGGGGTGTTATAGAATGATCCCGTGATCTGGGCCCCTTACTCCTTTCTTTCCTTTCTTCCTTCATTCCTTCTTCTCTTCTTTTAGCCCTCCTTTATTTAAAAGGTATCCGGAGTGCAGCAAGATGGCGGAATAGAAGGCTCCATCAATTGCTGCACATCACCCCAGCAAGGACACCAATTTAACAACTATCTACACAGAATGAAACACTTATATAAGAACCAAAATTCAGGTGAGCCCTCGTAGTACCTGGTTTTAACTCCATGTTATGGAAGGAAATACTGAAGAGATAGAAAAAAATAAAATCACCTTGAATCACTGACACCACCTCTCCCCAACCCTCCAGCAGCAGTGTGGAATGGAGCATCTCCGTGCATTGGGGAAGGGACAGCACAATTGTGAGGCATTAAACTCTGTTGCCTGTTAGAGCAGAAAGGAAAACAGAACAAAACTCAGCTGACACCCACCCACAGAGGAAGCATTTAAACCAGTCCTCGCCAGAGGGGAATCTTGGATCCCAGTGGGTGGAACTGAGTTCGTGCAAACCTTGCCACCCAGGGCCAAAGTGCTCTGGATTTCTAAGCCAGCTTGATAGGCAGTCTAGGACACAGGGACTACAACTCTTAAGCATTCCTAGTGCTGAACTGGGCCCAGGAACAGTGGTCTGAGGGGGCATGTGACCTACTGAGATACCAGTGAGTGCAGCTAAGGGAGTTCTGGCATCACCCCTCCCCTAAACTCTCAGCTGTACACCTTGTAGCTCCAAAAGAGGTCTTTCTTCCTCTTGAGGTGAAAAGAGGAAAGAATGTGGAGGGCTTTGTCTTGCATTTTGGATACCAGCTCAGCTACAGCAGGATAGGGCACTGGTAGAGTCATGAGGACCCTGTTCCAGGCCCTAGCTCCCAGGCAGCATTTCTAGACGCAACCTGGACCAGAAAGGAACCTGCTGCCTTGAAGGCAAGGACACAGTCTTGACAGCATTCATCACCTGCTAACTGAAGAGCCTTTTGGCCCTGAACAACCAGTAGCAATATTCAGGTACTACTTTGAGGGCCTTGGGTGAGACGCCGAGACTTGCTGGCTTCCGGTGAGACTACCTCATTACCAGCTATGGTGGATACAGGGTGAAACTCTTTCTGCTTAAGAAAACCAGGGGGAAAATAAAGGAGACTTATCTTGCACCAGCATGGCCACGGTAAGATAGAGCAACAAGTGGGTCCCTGATTCTAGAATTGACTCTTGGACATCTTCTCTGTACCTTCCCTGTGCCAGAAGGGAGCCCACTACCCTGAAGGGTGAGTCTCAGGCCAGGTGACATCTATCATATGCTCACTGAAGAGCTCTGGGGCCTTAGGACCCAGGGTCTCACTTGCAGTAGTCTGGCAGTACTCCCCATGGTCTGTGGTGGTGGTGGCTATAGAGTGAGGCCCTTCTGCCTTTGGAAAAGGAATGGGAGAGTTAGAGGGACTGCATCTTGTGGTATGATTGTCAGCTCAGCTATAGTACAATAGAACACCAAGCAGACTTCTAAGTTTTTGACCCTAGAACTTGACTCCTGATGGCACTTTTGGACCTACCTGGAGTCTGGGGACCTACCTGGAGAGCTGCCCATAAAGGAAGGACACAGGACTGGCTGGCTTTGCCATCTGCTGATTGTAGAGCCCCTGGCCCTTGAAAAAACATAGGCAGTAGCCAGGGAGTGATTATAGCAGGCCTTCGGGGAGATACCAGTGCTGTGCTGGCTTCAGGTCTGACCCAGAGCTGTCATAGAGTGGTGGTGGCCACAGGGGTGCTTGCATCATTCCACTCCTATCTTTGGGTGGCTCAGAACAGAGAGAGAGAGAGAGAGACACTGTACATTTGGGAGAAAGTAAGGGAAGGGTACAAGATTCTCTCTGCCTGGTAATCCAGATCTTCCCCAAGGCCAATAAGACAGTATCTAGGAATGCGCAAGAACCACAGTGTTACTGAGCTTGGTTGGGGTGCTCTCTGAAGCAGATACAGTTTAGTTCACAACACCCAAGTCCTTTGTGGAAGAGGTCAGAGCATGTTTTACTCCCTAAACCTTTGGAGAATGAACTAAATGGACCTCTCTCATACCTTAATCACTCAATCTCCCTTTTCTCCCTCTCTTTCAATCTCCACACTTTCTCACTATATCTAGTCTTCCAGCATCTCTTTTCCTGTTTATCGCTTCCCTTCCTGGCCAACCCTCTGAGTAGAGTCTTTCCTATGAAGAGTCCTAGAGTAGTGATCAAGTCTTAAGACTCTTAGGGTTTTGCAAATTCCCAGGCCTGGAGTGTTGAATGTAGAATCTGCTTAGAGTCTATGAATGGAGGAGGCGGGTAGAAAATACAGAGGACTTCTAGTCTAGGTTAAATTGGAGCTATTCTTTACAGTATCTAAAATTGAACACATTTCTTCACCAAAATATACTGTCCCTACTGTGTTAAACTCTCCTGGATCTAAGATGTGTCACAAAGTGTCCTACACTAATCCGTCAACTATTGATTCTGTTCTTCAGCCATCTCTCCTTAATTCCCTGGGGTAGGAAAGGGGAAATTGGGAAAGGAAAAAAGAGAAAAAGAAATTGTTAAGTGCTCACCAGTCACTGTCCCTTCTGCTTCCTAAATAGATCTCAAATATGTCCCTCTTCCTACCATTATCTCTATTCATTCTGACACTATCATTGTCTGAAACACCACCATCTTTTCCCTGGACAATTGTAACCAACACCTAATCGGTTTCCCCATATCTTACACTTGCTTCAGTCCAATCCTATTGCCACAGTCAGCTAGGGTATTATTTTAATATGCATACCTAGTCTTGTTATATTTCTTCTTAAACCTCTTCAATAACTTCCAATTACCTTAGAATAAAATTTCAAGTTCTCACCATAGATCACAAGACCCTCTAAGACCCCAAGATATCAGGTCTCTGTCACTCTGTCTTTCGGTTTCTATCTATATTTACATCTATGTCTATATCATGTATGTGTGTGTCACTGTGTAATATTTATAAGAATACTTACTATGATGATAGTAAAAAATGCTTTACATGCATTTTTATGCCATCCTCCCATCACTATGAGGTAGGTACTGTTATTTTCCCCATGTACAAGTGAGGAAATTGAAGGTTTAAGTAGTTTAGTAACTTGTGCAAAGCCACATAATTAGTGTCAGAGCCCAGGGTTCAAACATAATCAGTTTGATTAAAAAGTCTGTAACTAGGGCAATATATTTTTTTCTAATTTCTTCACTTACCCTCTCCATCTTGCTATGTGCTCTAGTCATACTTGACTCTCAGTTCTCTTTTAGGGCCTTCCTACATGTTGTTCCCTCTGGATAACCTGATCATAAATAAGTCCTTGGAATTCAGACACTTCTATGGAAGATATGGCCATCCCAGAGAAAAAGCCTGTAAGTCAGGCTGCCCATGCAAGAGTTACTGGTTGGTTGAAAGTTTTCTATGAATGCCACATTGTCCAGAATAGAAACAAGCTTCAGGTTGTTGGTACATTCATTTACTCATACTAAGAATCATGTAGTGCCAGACCCTGGGTGGTACAACTTCTGTAGGTGTTTAATACAGCACAAGACCAGGCTCTAACTGGATCCTATCTATCTAAGCAGGAATAGACATTGACTGTTCAAAGTTTTAGCCTCTTGGTGCTGAGGCTGGCCTAAGAATAGGGTCTGGGTGGTTAGAGATTTTGTATGTATGCACTGAAAACTTCATAAGTTGTCAGAGGCTTCTATTGTAAGTGCTATAGTCAGGGTAGGAGAAGACCGAAGATGGTCAAATGCATAGTTATATATAGGAGATAATCTAGCATCATGGTTAACAGCTTAAACAACTCTGTAGTGAGCTTGCTGCATTGAAATTTCAGATTCCTCACTTCTTAGCTATGGGCATTGGGCAAGTGACTTATCCTTTATCTCCATTTCATCTTTAAAGTGAGAATAACAGCACTCCATATGGTTGTTATGAGGATTAAATAAGACATGTGAAACACCTGAAATAGTGCCCAGCAAATAATTATTAGTCAGTAAATCATAACTATTATCTGCTATAGCCTAGTACAGGAATAAGGCTAAAGTGGAAAAAGGTTTCTTATGTAGGTGCTCTCTGCACTCCAAGGAACAAATCACATGTTTGAAGTTATAGTATATGTTTGAACATCCCTGCCTTACCTGACTTTTCCAAACTTTGGCCCATATATATATATATATATATATATATATATATATAGACACACACACACACACACAGAATATATGTATATTCTCTCTGTGTGTGTGTGTCCGTGTGTGTGTGTGTGTGTGCATGTGTGTGTGTGTGTGTGTGTGTGTGAGAGAGAGAGAGAGAGAGAGAGAGAGAGAGAAAGAGAGAGAGAGAGAGAGAATTTATTCTTTCCAATCCTGTCTATTCCTCTGATGTATGCAACCTGGACTGCCTGATCTAACCACCTAATTATAATCAGGTCTGTTTGTTGATTCCTACATCTATCCCACAGTGACAAAGGTAATTTTGTTTTTAATTGCTTCCTGCTAAGCTCAAAGATGAGTTCAGTTTGCC